ATGTTGCAAAGTCTCTTCTGGCTGTTTAAAACCAGTGTTGGTTTTTGAGTGACATGCGTTAAAGCTGTGGTTTCGGATAGTCGGATAGTCAATCGCATCATTGTCCTGCACTCCATCGGTCACATTTTCGACAGGCGCTTATATACTGGCTACCAGTGTTTGATCCTTTTGCCCTGTCTCCCAGCGTCACTGCCAGAACCGAAGCCAGGCCACGATATAGTTATTTCTATCTTTCTTCTTGGACAATTATATGGGTATATATGGGTTCTGGTCGATATGTCTTCTTCCAGAAATGGCCGAAAGTCGTGTTCACATGGGGGCCCGCTACATATTCTTTACTTTTGGCACACACAGCTGGTTAATGAAGGAAACATGGACCAAGCAAGTATTGGCGCCAAGCTGTAAGAGGCGTCACTAGCGCTGCACCGCTTTCAGCGGATCTCCGAGCTTCAAGCCATGCTTGAAACAAAAGACAGGTTGCAAGTCAGCCTTGGAAGGGTCCACGCTGGAATGTGGCAATGTTTGCGAGCGCGGATCTAGCGCAGTGCTAGCGCGCGGCTAGCGCATTTTTCAGCCAGCCACTTTTCAAAAACCTGACGACGTTCTGTACATGTCCTAAGGCAAACACTAGCGTCACTAGCGCAAGTCTACCGTAAACCTAGCGCCCAGCTGCAGAATAAGTGTGTTCAGCTGGGGGCCCGCTACATAATCTAAATGAAAAAACAACATCATAAGCCACTTTCGACCCCTTTATCTAATTTTTTATTATAGACTTTTGGCCGGACTCCATATACGTCTGAGGAAATACCAGTGGGAGGCCAACCTCAATGCCTGATCTGCCACAACATCAAATTGATCCAGGGCCTGTCGTTGATGAGTGTCAATCGCAACACCAGCAACTTCATCGCACGAAAAAAACACAACAGATACTATTCGATGTACTGATCTAAGGTAAGCGGATTTACCACAAAAAAAATACAAAAACAATACCGCACGACAGTTTGAAGGACAAGGGAGAAAAACAAACAACAACGGAGTAAGAACACGAACGAAAACAAAAACGCAACCTGCGAGTTGTCATGCTGCAAAGGAACCAACCACCTCAACAACAAGACGTCGTTGCCTGTTTGACACAGCTCACAAAGATTGGGTTACTGGCAAAGAGCGTCATTGCAACCCCCCGACCCCTGAAGTGATTTGAACAGCCCTAGTAGCGTTCTTGCTCCTAGGAGCGATGCCAGGAGCCCCTAGTAGCGTCCTTGCTCCTAGTAGCGATGCCAGGAGCCCCTAGTAGCGCCCTTGCTCCTAGTGGCGATGCCAGGAGCCCCTAGTAGCATTCTTGCTCCTAATAGTCCGTAGGCAAACGCTTGCAAATACTTGAGACTCGAGACTGACTGTAAAGCATATAAGCATTGAACAGCACATGTGAGATGTGTGTGGAAGGGCCCTGCTTGTGTCACTGGCAAGCACGTGAATCGGATTCAGGGTATTACGGTCTCTATAAACTTTATATTATATACTTACTTGGTAATTTGCTTCGAATAGGTGTTGTAGTTGTAGGCCAACATTCCTGACATGCCGGTAGTTGGACAAGGATTGAGACGCATACTATGTCTGAACGGAAGGGCCAAAGGTTCAATTGATGAAGATGTAGCTTGCCCTATTTGCCACGCCCGCGTCCGAACAGGGTGATAATCTTATGGCGCCCTACCATGAAATGCTAGCAACCCTGCGTCATAAGCGAGTCTTGTAGCCAGAACTCAGCGAAGAACGTTCTATATAAACCAGCTGAACTTCGTGCACAAGCGTCACTTGTCTCTGCGCATCCCCTGCCACCACCACCACCACCACCACCACCACCACCACCATGCCCCTCCGTGCGAGCATCATGTGCTAGCAGCAGGGAGGTCAGGCTATGCAAGCCTGTCAGGATCAAGGCACATCTCCATGCTGGCTGTTGATACCCCCTAAAAAAAGTAAGCTTTGCGGAGGCCGACTAGCCGATCTACCTCCAAACCCCATCAGCCAGCACAAATCTCAACATCCTGAATATATTGGACCTTCTATGATCTTCTGCTGCCTTGTTTCAAGGCGCTCGCTGCACAAGGATGAACTTCACAGCCAATCAGCCAGTAGCGAATCAAAGTCAAATTTACCCACCTTTCAGCCCCCACAAACCTGAAACAGAAACAATGAATTCTAGCAACAAACTATCGCAACGTGGTTCTGCTCAAGCCAATCACGGCTGTTTACGGTCCTTGAAGTTGCTGGTGCAGCACCGGCGGATTGTTCAACAACACGTAGAGTCGTCCCACAAAGGAAAGATGGTATACTGGATATAATACAAATCCTTGTAGATTACAAACACAAACGCACCGCAAACCATCAGGTGTAATGCCTCTCAGAAGCTTCCCCTTGGCTCGGCACCCAGCAGGCAGGACCAGTGAAGTGCAGTGTTTCCTTGTCGGTCCTGACGCCCGCCGTCCAACCAACTGCAAAAACATCAATACAGCTTTAGCATTGCTTTATCATCGCTGGCATTTGTGGTAGAGATCCAGGGTTAGAGCCGGATTCGGAAACTAATCGGTCGGATTCTGAAACTAGGGTTCTGAAACTGGGGTTCTGAAACTAGGGTTCTGAAACTTGGATTCTGAAACTGGTATTCTGAAACCGGGGTTCTGAAACTAGGATTCTGAAACTGGGGTTCTGAAACTAGGATTCTGAAACTGGGATTCTGAAACTAGGATTCTGAAACTGGAAAGTCAGATTCTGCAACTGGTATTCTGAAACTGGAAAGTCAGATTCTGCAACTTGCCTTCTGAAACTTGCAACTGGTGATCTCCACATCACGCGATAGCGTGTGTGCCTGTGACATCACCTTCGAAGCACATCCAAACCAACGTCATTAGCCCCCCACCCAACCCCCCCACCCCCCAACCCCCCCTTGTCCCCATCGTGTGATCTCGACATCCCTCATCATTCACAAAGTTGCGGAATCCTAGTGAGGGAGTCCACAATGTTGCGGAATCCTAGTTGCGGAACGCCAGTTGCGGAATCCCAGTTGCAGAATCCTAGTTGCGGAATCCTAGTTGCGGAATCTTGACAGTTGCGGAATCCTAGTTTCGGAATCCTAGTTGCGGAATCCTAGTTGCGGAAATCTAGTTGCGGAATCCTAGTTGCGGAATCCTAGTTTCGGAATCCCAGTTGCGGAATCCCAGTTGCGGAATCCGACCAAACAGTTGCGGAATCCTAGTTGCGGAATCCTGCGCAGTTGCGGAACTCGACTTTATCCAGAGATCCAGGGCAGAACTCTTCTGTATGAGGCATCCTTAGACACTAGATTATGTCAGTAAGTTACAGTAAGTGATCGAACATTGGTGTGAGACGAGCATCCGGAAGAACTAGTGGTCCAATTGTCGAAGTTTAACATTTCACAAGAAACCCTTGCGTTTGACTGCCGGCCACCCGTGTGCCCACACCCATTCAACATCATTCAACAAAGTCCCTCCAAGCAAGAAGAACTGGTGGGCAAAATATCAACGAACCATCGCAATGATGCGCAACCCATCTTGAAGGTGACTCACCGCATGACTGAGACCGTGGCCTGGGCATCGACATCCTCCCCAGCAGAGAGCCACTCGGCCACCAAATGGACTTGCTGCAATCGGGTGGCCTGCGGACTCGCCAATCGGCCCGCCGCGGTTTGGGGAGATCCACGGAGATCGGCGCCCTCCGAGATCGGCTTTTCCCCAATCGTTGAGCAAGCAGTTTCTTTGGGACATCGTTGAACAAGCATTCCAAGGCATTGGCCAGAAACGACAAACGACAAACGTTCCGCTAGTCTTACTTGTAGTTCCGTGTCGTCCAAATGCAAGACTTATACTCATGTTGGATAGGCCAGGTCTCTGTCTTCCACTTGGGACAGAAATCATTTTACTAGGTAGAACATGTGGGATTTTTTTGCTTTTCTGCATACCGTGGTTGGGATGCAGTTGTTCAAAACGAAATTGTGCCACCTCAAAACACAACTCTCCCCAAAACCAAAGCCTGAGGGCCTTGGGGGAGGGAAACCTGTGAAGATGTGCCTCGGCCACGTTGGTGACCTCTTGCGAAGTGCTCATGGAAACAATTGGCCAGTGAGGTGTCACAACGTCAGCATCTTGGCTTCAGTTGAGTGACGTTCCATGTAAACCTGCAAAACCTACTACAGCCGATATGTCAAGTGTCACTAGAACTAGTAGAAGCACTTTTCTGGGACAATTGAATCTTACAGAACCTTACTTACAGGGAACATCGTGAAACATTTGAAATATATTGAATTATCATGAATTCACTAATTAGGATGTTGCATAAACAAACATCAAGAAGGTAGCCGCCGTATAGCATTCAATCGGTTGCTCGTGTTCAAGCTTTTTGTTGAAACTCTTGATATCATTCTAATGTGCATCCTCTTTCAGCAGGAAAAGGATGGTCAGCCGGCATGCAAGTGTGGTCTCATTGTGAGTACAATTCTTTCCGCAAGCTCCCTAAGGCCAATGAGCAAAGCTTTTAGCGTCGTTGGCAGTGACTCAAAGAAGACTTTCTTCTTTCACTGTCAATACTCCTCCCAATGAGGATGCCAACAACAAAACCATCGACCCCTGATTCTGTCCACAATTAGATGCCCATCCGAGGCGCAATGTTTTGTTCCGAGTATGTCGGGAATCAGCTGCTGTCAAGCTCTGTACACGTCCCGAATCTATGTTGATCTTCAGACATGTGCAAGTAAGCTCCTATGTTCAACAACCAGCAAAGTCGGTTGGACGTTCATCACGTAGTGTGGGGTCGGGACAAATCAAACGGATATAAAATCATGTCAAGATATCAATCAAAACATATACTATATATGAAAACTCTCGTGAATAGTGAATACTTAATAGTCCATTGCAAGACTTTGCACTCAGAGGCTACGGCTAGGATAGTTATATATATCATACATCAAGTCATGCAATTGGATCATTGCAATTACAGCAATCTCCCGACTCCCGCGCTCTGTTTTGAAGTGGTGGTTGTCTCTCACGCTGACCCCAAGGCCCGAAGATTACCCTCAATCCAGCTTGCTTGTGGCTCCTGGCTGCTTACGCGCCACCACCGTCGCGGCAACAGCAAGACTGATTGAAACGTTCGAGATTGGAACCCTGTGTGAGACTAAAAGAAATATGGTTTAATCGTTCAATCGGCAGCCTTTTCCGAGGCCTGTCTTATTCGCAGATTGCGCTAATTTGGTCTATAATAATTTAGATTGATTGATGTCTTTGATGTTGCTTGCACACAGCTACCTCAACATGCCAATTACCAGGGTGTTTCCAAGCCTGGCAGGCCCCGTTAAACTAGGATGATTAATGATCACAACCTCCTTCTGGAACCCAAGCTTGGAGTCGGAAAGGATAACAAAGAATGGCACAGCCAGGGATGCTTCAATGTTTGTCTCAGATGGCCTAAGCTGCCCAAGCTTTTTAACAGTCCTTCCAGCTTAGGCGCCTTTGCTGGAGCACTCTTCCTTGGTTATGCAGAATGCACCTCGTGGCATTGCCACTGCCCTTTGTGTTGATACATGTGGGGCCTGTAGTTCTACCAGTCTGACTACACTTGGACCACGGTGTGTATCGCCCCTTGCAATGAATGTCTGTTTTTGTGCGTTTGCTATTTTTTGCTGACCAACCATGCTGCCTGAGTTTTTGCACAGTTGATGTTTTGGATGATGTGATGAATACGTGCATACGTTCAAGTAGGACAGGGCTGGGGCCAGGATGATTGCGATGTTCTGAATGATGTGATGAATGCGTGTGCAAGGTCAAGGAGGGACGGGGAGGTGGGTGGAGGACGTGGGACGGAAGTGTCAAAGTACATCTTGCAGGCGCGCCAGTCAATTGGATTGGTAGACTATATAATGCCCGTAATTTGTTGGCAAATCCCGTTGGCACGGCAACGTTACTCCTCAAAACACATTGGAAATACGGCGGGCACCAACAACATGCTTCCCGCTGTCATTTTCTCCTGTCAAGAACACTACAGCATCTTGCAATTCCAACACACGTATATAATGATCACAGTGCTCTTTGCACGGCACAGTGCAAGCCGTGGACCAACTACAGAGTGGTTAAACGTCCTTCCTTTGAACAGAGCCCCCAGTAGCGTCCTCTTGCTCCTAGTAGTAAGGCCAGGAGCCCCTAGTAGCGTCCTTGCTCCTAGTAGCGATGCCAGAAGCCCCTAGTAGCGTCTTTCCTTATATGTCCTGAGATTAACAATGTCCCTGAGCCCCTGACTCGCCCAGGCGATGCCCGGCGCCCCAGCCCATGGCCTCACCTCGGGCGTCACTGCAGGATAGGTCCCACGAAGTCGGCAAAACCAAACAACACCTGAAAATGGAAAGAAAGTCCTAGTAGCTTCTTTTTCCTAGTAGCGATGCCCTTTGATACTAGTAGCTTGTTGTTACTACTAGTAATGCCAGGAGCTACTAGTAGCGTCCTTGCTCTGGCAAGCTTGTGATCATCACACTGAGATTTAACGATGTGCAAGTCATGGTGAACAAGTGGACCTAAAGTGGGTCAAACAGACTACACATGTCCGTGTTTCTTTTCCAGGGGCTCGCTCTAAGCTGTCAGATCTACGATCTAGTATCATGTTATATAATTGTGTGCCCTACATTACGTGGAGGATAAAGTTGTTGGCTTCACATTGAACTTTGCTCCTGCAAGGGCTGTAAACTGAATTGTTGATGTTGATCATGATTACAAAGCTGAATCTCCAGTCAGATTGTGTCAGGTGAGGCTCCGTCTACGCTTGAACCAACCACCTAAGACCATGATATACGGAGGGTGTCCACCCCACATCAACCAAAGGTCGATCGCGTCGCGCACAGGCCGTGTTTTGCACCGTGACTCCCGGCCTGTGAAGCTCGCCGGAGCAGTCACACCGCTCTCCTGTGTTCAAGAGGGAACCACTGCGACCTTTGTTGCTAGCAGTCACATTGCATCTTTAAAAGATGTGTTGTGAGTCTGTGAGTTCAAAAACTGCTAAATATGTTCTGACTCGAAGGTCTCTCATTCATGTTTGGTCAAATCAGCCACACTGATTTATACAATAGTCTCCAGGTTTCAACAACTTCTCCGGACTGTCCATCTGGGATGAGCAAAAGGATCCAAAAAGGTACGTATCAAAATGATTCAAAATGTATCAAATGGTAATGTCCCATGGTGACGTCCAGTCCCAGTGTGTCCTCTGGGCAGGGACCCAGCTGCTCAGACAAATCTCAGCACAACAGGCGCCGGACGTTGGAAAAGGAGCGCCCTCAAATTGTCTAACTGTTGTTGACATCTTTCCACACTTGATGAAATAACCCTTGAGATGCCTTCAATAGCTGACCATTCGGTACAGTTTTCACTTCCATAATCTTCCAAACACCTGTTTGACTGCTCTGCTTCAAGAAATGCCTGGACTCACACCTTGTCATCCAAAGGTTCCTTACGACATCTTCGGCCGCTCGGCCTGCAGAAAGAAAAGGTGGGCTGCACTTCTCTCCATCGAAACCCAAATACCTTCGCGGCGACAGAGTTGGATTTGAGCGATTTCGAGCGGCCAAAACTAGCCAATGCGGATCTGTGGACTCTGTCATGATCTGCCCTGGCTCTTACATACCCGGACCCGATGCCAGCCCCTGAAAAATGAAGAAAACTGGTGCTAAAAATGTTTGGGGTTGTCGCAAAATGGACGGGAATTGATGGGAATTGCACCTACATAGAAGCAACTGATTGAAAACTTGGGTTCCCTGTATTCAGCCTAGTCTTTGGATCATAACTGGAAGCCCACTAAGGGCTAGAAGCCACGTCCGCGGACAAGGGGTTCTTGTTCAGGGTGTCCACCCGAACGCTCCAACCGCCCAAACGTTCAAGACACGGCCATGGCTCAGAAGTTCCAAATGATAGGAGTGGCCTCCACCCTAATGGGGTCACCCTAATAGCGACGGCCTCCAACCTACTAGCGATGGCCTCCAACCTAATAGCCATGGCCTCCAACCTACTAGCAATGGCCTCCAACCTACTAGCGATGGCTTTTCCTTGATGAGAGGGGCCCCTCCTAGCACGGGTGGCAGGGAAGGGGCGGCGTAGCAGGTACCGGAAACAAGCGAACTAAACAACGTGCAATCACTCAGAACTTGAACTCCAGGATGTAGTTTCTCAACGACCAGCCCTTGACGAACGGGCCAACTTCGTGCCCTGCTTAAGTCGCTTCTGCAGGGAGTTAAAAGAGCCAGAAGGAACGTGCCACGAAAAGCCAGCATCCTCAGGACCAAAGGGGAAGGTGAACTCAGGCCACCATCCATAAGCGGCTGAGCGAGGTCTTTTCCTAAAAGTCTCTTCCGCAATGCTACACACTTGCTGTTGGGCAGGGAAGCAGGGTCTGCGAGACCATCCAAAGACACAGGAACCGGCTCCCATCCGATACAAGGAACACACTCGAGCGCTTCGAATGTAAGGAGGGATAACTTCTCGATCACACAAAGAGATGGTCTGGTTGACCAAGTGTGCGAATTGCGTAGCACATTCATTCCAAGTGTAGCAAAAGGCTTTGGCTGTGGTGGGACAGCGTGCCCATGCAAAAGAAGTTTCGCCCTTCAGACCTTTTCTACGGACCGGCACAAAGCTGCGAGCAA